CAATTCAAGAACGGCTGGACCGATCTTAAATTAATACCACGTATCTCTATATAAGGTGAATTCGATTGACCCAGATTAGATCGATTTGGGTTCAATTTAAGTGAACTTCTTCTGATCTAGATTTTTGTTGATGAGGGTGCAGAAGTCTCAATGTAGGGGCGGGGGGGTGGGCGCGCCCCCTGCGCCCCACCCCTGGGACCGCGCCTGGTACATTCAACAAAGTGGTTCTGAAATAAGCTGGAACGTAGTCAGTAAGACAACTAAACTAGAGTCTAACAACTAGTCTAAGGACACGTCCGTAACGACGCATTGCACCATATATAGTATCGCTCCTGCCTCGCACATAGCATTGCCGTCGTGAGTCCATTTTGGAGCACCATTCCCAGCATTTCACATCAGCTTAAATAGTTGATTTTCAACTTTTGTCAGCAGCATAGCAAAGATGATGAGTTCTCTGTCGAATTAAAATTATACCTTCTTTCACTCTACTTTTAGAAAGTGGCATTTAATTAAAAATAGAAGACAATAAATCCTTAAATAAAAAGCGAAGTCAGTTCGGTGAATTCCATCACCTATTTAATGATCATAGTGAATGTTGCTTTTGTTATCCCTTTCCCATATCGCCTCTGATAAAGACACTCGTAATTAATTTTTCCTTATCCATCATACATTGCGCGATGTGCGAAGCTTCGAAAAATACTAAGCTTGATTTTGAACTTTCGAAGTGCGATACTCTGGTGCCAGGCATGGTGACAATCGAGGGGCGGTGCGCGGTGCGCCGTTGTGGCCAAGCGCATTTAACTTTATGATAACATTCGCTTCGCACACGGATGTGACGGATGCTATGGTACCAAGATGTACCATATGCTTAGTGCTGTGCGAGGTGCGGTGCGTCGTTATGGCCGCCCACTTACATGCAGGGCGCCACGCCAGCAGAACCACCGCTGGTTTTACCAGTAGGCGGCCGCCTAGGGCCCGGACGCTCAATGGGGTCCGCAATTCACTCTACGAAATCAAATATCCTTTGGCAACCTCACGCCCTGAGACGCACCACACCACTCGAATTACGCACACGATTGGCAACACTGTTCTGGAGCTGTGGGATTCCCAGCTCAGGTAGAGTCCACCCAACTTAATGTCATGTTGCTGATGAACATCCGTTAAAAGAGTAAAAGATAATAGATACATGGGCATCAGCCATCTTGCAGCTGTGACAAAATTGAGATGTTATGTATTGATATTTTGGTAGCGTGAATAATTCTATCACATCTTAAAATTTCGTGGTAAATTATGCTGAAGAGTAAATTTGATCTGAAGCAGTAAATAACAGTTTTCGGAACCGGAGGCAATCTGAACGAAGTCTTCTTTCTTCTCTTCTTGGGGAGGTTATTGAAAGGTGTTAATAGAGACTCAAAATTAGTACCACTTACCACTTTTCTGCTGAAGCTGGAAACACCTTCTCTAACCGCACAAACCGTCACGTAAGATCTTTTTTACGCCACCACCAGTGTTCTAATGGGGATTTTAAAACCAGAAAAGAAAAGTTAATTATTTAATGATAAAAAAAAAGGTACCTTATTTAACTATAGACGATCGACAATTTTTAAAATTGAAGACAATTGAAAGAAATGAGAATAATTTCCCAATTAAAAGATTTAGTTCAAAATCAGAGACTTTATTGGAAATTGAAATTAAAAAAAACACTAAGTATCACCTCTTTGGAGAGCTTTCACTAAAACACCGCGGGCGGCAGATGAACTAGCGGATGAGGACCGGATCGGGAACTCGTTGAGACTTTACGACTTAATTTTCCGGCGATTAGTCGTGGTAAAATCTACTGGCGAATTGGCGATAACTGAATTTATGTGGCCTCTACATCTGCTTAAATTAGCGAAAGGAACCACCCTCTGGGTACCACTTTAGAAGCACATTGGCTTCTCTCAGTACCGGGCTTGATGGTCAATTCTGGATTACAGCAATTATAATCTTGAAGCTATAAAATTCGATACTTTTCTCTGGCTTTTAAGTGCTTTTTACCCTCGAACAGATTAGACCTTCCGCAGAACATATGTGTTTGTAAATTTCATCATAGGGTCACATTTTAGCTATCTATAAAAGCAGCAGGGAAATATTTCCCGTTATCATTTTCCTCTTCATTTGCCGACCTCATTTGGTTGCCCCGAATTTATTTTTTTTCAAGAAATTATGGTTAAAAATAAAATAGTATACAACCCTCGACGGGAAACTTCATTGCTGTCTCGAGGTTCAGTTTATCTCGACGCTACGCGTCTCGATAAAATAAAACCTCTCGACCAGTAATGAAGCATTTCCCGTCTCGGATTGTAATATACTATTGTTACACAGCTACAACCATCAGACAGCAGACAAAGTCCCAAAGACGTCTTTTTTAGGTCTCCATTACGTCTGAACGTGTGAAGACCAAAAAAAGACGCCTAGAATACGTTGTTTTGAAGATGTTCATAAGATGTCGTAAATCGTAAATTCATATCTTAAAGACAATTATCTGGTACAACCAAGCCTAAAAGTGCATAATGGTTTATGTAAGTATTGAAAAGAGATTCAAAAATGTCTTCGAGACATCTCGTTGAAGAAGTTTTTAGAACGTCTTAGTCCTAAAGACGTATTTAGCCAGATCTCTGGAAGACGTTAGGTTTTGTAACAATACGACGTCTTCAAGATGTCTTTGAGACGCCCTAGACGTAATCAAGACGTCTTGAATGTCGTTTGTTGACGTCTTTGAGATGTCTAGAAAAATTCCCCACAGAATTCGTTTCTCATTCAATTTAGAAGTTACTGGAAACCATTTAAAATGCTACAGAACACTTTAGAACTTTAATAGGCCTTTTGGAAAGTTCAAAACACTTAAAATTCAGTTCAGAACTTCCAAATGCGAAAATTTTTTACTTTAAATAAAATAAAGAAAATTATATTTTTATTTAGTTTTCTTGATTCGCTTCACAAAATTTTGAAAATTTCAGAACCATTTCAGAATGCCCCAAAACATTCAAAACCCGATTTTCAATTTCCGAAAGCATTTTAGAACAACTCGGATGTTTGAAACCCATTTTAGGACGCTCCAAAACACTCTAGAATCCCCAGAAACATTTTGAAACGCGCCAGAATCTTACGATTCAGGTTGAAAGTTACAAGACGACTTTCAGAACGCTTTCAAGAGCAAATTTGGATTACTGTAGAACTTTAGACCTCTATTAAGCATTTAAAATAGTTCAAATCTAAATCAGAATTTTCAGGAGCATTTTGGAACATTTGACAAACTTCACAGTTATTTCAAAGTTCTAAATTGAATCCTAATTTAGAACTGGAAACCTTTTAGAACTTTTTTGAACCAAGTTTAGAGCTTCAACAGGGCTCTAAAAGACTTAAAAATCAGAACAATTTAGGAATTACTAAAATGCTCCAGAACTCTTCAAGCCAAGTTTTGGATTTTCATTTTTCAATAAGCCATTCAAAACGTTCCGAAAAACTTTCCAGCAGCATTTTAAAAGGCTTTTTTTTTCAATTTGGACAAAAAAAGTGAAAAATTACCTTGGGCTGCAAGGCCCCATACCTACTGCCACCTAGGGCCCGGTAGAGCCTTGAAATGTCGCTGAGAAGAACACGAGATGTGCATCATTACACTATTTCAATCATAGGTATATCTAATAATGTGGCTCAGAAAATATAGGTATTCTCATGAAAAACTATGGAAAAATATGGAACTAAAACAGAGGAGAGAAAAACGATTACCTACCTACCTATTTACTGAAAAAACTTACCAAGATTTTTGAAATGAGGAGTATACTGTATACCTACTTATAATATGCAAACTTCGAGCCAGTTTATCTGTGCTATCAGCAGTGGCGGACCTAGTACCTTTGGGGCCCGACGCAAAAATTTTTTTGGGGCCCCCTCATGCTTTATTGTACATATAGGTATTTTTCTTGTGGTTTTGGGGTTTGAGGTGAGTGTGCGAGTTATTCATATTTTTTAAAGCCAAATATGAAAATAAATTTAATCAAAAAAACAAGTTTATCAAGAACGAGGCAGAAAACAAGTTACACGAAAAAAATATATTTGTAAAAATTTAGGAACTTTTTATCTAAACAAAAAGAAATACAACATAGTAGTGCCGTAGTGATACAACTGTCTGTATACTCCACCGACAAGAGCCATAAATTATCTCTGGAGTTTGGAAGAAAATAGCTAAAAAAGCCGCGTAAAGTCGTCGTGACCGCGGTTTGCGCATCGCGTCGAGCGCATCAAGATTCCCTACAGGGCCTCTATTCTCAAAACCGGGGATAAGCGTTCTCATGAGAACAAAGGTTCTGTCTTAGTTGGCCATATTTTTTATTTTATATTTTCATAACACTGACAAATAGCAAAGCAATCGTTCTTTATCTTGAGAACGCTGTTTCCCGGTTTCGAGAATAGGCATCCTGGTATACAATGGTCCCTTCAGAATCTGGTTGTGTGGGGGCCCCTCAGCTCAGGGGGCCCGACGCAGAGTGCGTCGTTTGCTTCATGTTAGATCCACCACTGGCTATCTATCAGTCTTTGTAGGTCACAAGTTTGTAATGAGATTGCCTCTTCAAATGGGGTTTAAGGAGACACACAGAGAAAGGTTCAAGGATTTAGGTACTAGGGATATTACCAGTTAAACAGTTTATGCTTGCACCTACATGGAAATAAGAATGAATTCCTAAAAAAAAAAACACCTAATTCCTAAAAAAAAACACTAGAACTGTGGAAATAAATATACTATTCAATACATAGGGTAACTCTTCAGAAAAAAATGCATCTTACATGTGTATTAGAATTTTTAATAAATTGCATTAGCCAACTGAATCAAACCCACTTTGGGAAACCAGAATAAGGCACTTTGCAATAAATGCACATTTTTATGAATTGGCCTGTTAAAATAATTCTGAACACAAAATTACTTTTACAAAATTCTTTATTATGTATGTGCATCATACCATTTAAAAAAACAACCCTGACTTGAAAATAGAAAACCTATTGATAAAGCAATAGACATCAATATTTATATTTTTCTAAACACAAAAATCACTTAATTAAACATTTGCAATTATTTTTTAGTTAGTGTTTATGCATACCTACATAAAACTGAAAATTTCATATAAACTAATAAAAAGAAGAAAGTCCAGAATAATTCTAAAATGAAAACCTAGAAACTCTTGTATGAATTTGTCTGTACTCCATGTGTCAAATATTTTCTTGAGGAACTTCTGGTGATATTTCTGAGGACACATTTGCATCTAATGCTTCACCATTATTACCCAAATTATCACTTATGTTATTTTGACTTTGGTCATTAGTGGCCATTTCTTCACTACTGTTATTATCAACTATAGCACCCTTTGCAACAGTTTCTTCTTGTGTCACTTCTTCAACCTTATTATTATCAATTTCAGTCACATTTTTTTCTTCTTCTTCTTTAAGCTCAGGAGACAACTCTTCTTTAAGTTCAGGAGACAATGTCCGCATTTTGATATCACCATCATCCTCAAACTCACTATCACTTTGATTTTGACGGCGATCATGACGGTCATTGTTAACCTTTTCCACTTTAGACTCAATATGATTTTTGTTTTCAAAGTTTCGCTTCATACGTTCCTCAATGTGAATCAGTTCCTCATTAACCTCTTGTTGGCGTTTTTCAATTTGCTCATCAATGTCTTTTTTTGCCTTCTCTAAAAGTTCTCTAGACTTATCGTCTATTCTTCTTGGTAGATAATGTATTTGAGGTTTGGCTTTTGTTAGAATGAAATTGGCTCTTGGTTTTTGAGTTTGTTCCCAAGCAGCATATTCTCTCATTCTCAGCATTTTAAGTTCAATCATCTTGATTTCTTGTTGCTTCTTCTTTCTGTTCAAAAATAACTCTTGCCTTTCCTTTTTGACTTCTGCCTTTTCTTGCTGTTCATGTTCATCTATTTTCCTTTCAATTTGTGTACGTTTTTCCTCCTAGAAAAAACATGCATTATAGTAAAATAATTATAATTGAAGAGAAATCAAGTACTTACTTTCCTTTTTTGCTTAGATTCTTCCTGCTGGAACCTCTGTAGTGTTCCTATCAAAGCCCCAAACATCCTCCTATTTCTGGCCTTAAACTTCTCATCTTTATTTTGTTTGTCCAACACATCTTGCCTGCTGGGTATCTCTTTGGGTGCAGCTATTACCTTGGATGATGGTTTAAGTGGCTCATCTGATACTCTTTCAGATAACCTCTTAAATACTGATATAGGGTTCCTTTTTTTTACCGCCACAACATCATTCTCAAAATTTCTACTAAACTTAGAAAACGGTTGACGGACATGTTTGTCGTCCAAAGGTCTTTTTTGTCCTGGCCTGGGGGGCAGATCACTAGGGTCTCTACCAATTAAACGTTTTATATTTTCGTCCACACCTTTGAGACTGTTTTTCGCCTCTTCCAATTTGCTTTGGAGATGGTTAAACGATTCTAAAGTTTCCGTAGCCATTGAATTAACTAATAATTTATTTGTTCGTGAATTATGGGCTTATTTTTGTAATGAAACACACATAAAAACTGTGAAAAACTATAAAAATAACTAACCGAACCCAGGCTGCAAATTTACAACTACAAGCAACCAACACCATAGCACAAATTACCATTTACGAATTCATATCCGCATCGATTGAAAAAAGCAAAAAGAAGCATGACGTGTGACATGACAATCACTAGTTAACTGGGTGCGGGTTCGAAAACGTAGCCGCTCTCCGGCTGAGCTTTTGAGCATGCAATCGAGCGCACCCAAATGCTTCGAGCGCGTGTTCGTCTTTCCTGTACTGCGCTCCGAGAGCTGCTAATTTTTGCGTTTCAAACACAGAACACTGTGCTGCACACTGTCCAAACTACCTTGCTGTTCTAGTTCTGTTCCATTTGCACTAACTCGATTTAAATTTCTCTATTTAAGTATTCCATCTGCATCTATTTGAATTCCTTCTATTATTCGAGTTACTCTAAGTGCTCCGATTGCTTAAACTACTGTTCCATCTGCAGTAACTCTGTTCTGTTTGCATTGCTCTGATTGTTATTGTTTGAACTACTCTAATATGCTACTAAACAATAAACTTATTCACTATCGCTGAGTTCGGCTTTACACTCTGTAAACTCTAAGCGCGTTCGAAACGATAAGATCCTGTTCGTTTCAGCTCTCAGAGTGTTCTCTTTTGCGTTGGGCTTATGACCGCGTCTGACGTCACGATATCCATTCTCATACCGTTCCGCTCCGTGGAATGCAAAACCGAACTTAGCCTATAACAGTAGGCTGATTTGAAAATAATTTTGGGTTTTTACCTTGCGTTCGGTATTTTGCTTAAAGAGCAGAGCGTGTTGAGCGGAGCCGTAATCACGTGCCCAGCGAGCGAACAGAGCAGTTGAACGCTGTATCAGAGTGCCAGAAATTTTATTAAACAAACGCGAATGAGCCTGCACCGAGTACACTTTTTAAATAAACGAAAAATTCAAGCTCAGAGAACTCAGATCAAAATACCGAACGCACGGTTAGTAATTCTACTCTGACTGTTCCAAGTGAATTGACTCTCTTTGATCTGTTCAACTCTCCGAACTACTTTGACTGTTTTAATTCAGAGATATGGGAGATTTGTTGGTTAGAATAGAATAAGGGTCCATCCTGCGCAACTGGCCCAATTTGAAGGACCGCCATTTTTATCACTTGTCAAATTAGGTGTTGGCAAAATAGGTCATGAACAACTGATAACTCCAAAAATAAGCAGAAATAACAAAATGAAATCGTTTAAAACACCGCTCTGATAAAAATATCTCAGAAAAAGCAGGAAAAATCACCAAAAACAACAATCTGTAACCGACGGGGGATTCTCATCCTCTAGTCGCAACCTATCGTCCCGACTCACTCGTAGAAAGACAATGGGATAGTCGGGACGATAGGTTGCGACTAGAGAATGAGAATCCCCCACCTGAACCGACTAAAAATAGTTGTATTCCTTTCAAGAGTTTGAAACACTTGAGCTACTCGCTCCGGTGTTTAGTCGCCCCCAATTTGCAGGGAACAGATGCATGGTGCAACAAACACTTTTCGAAAGGAATAAGCGCGTGAAGCCCCGGAGCTGTTCCGGAGCTCCTCCTAGGTGTGAAAAAAATACAACTATTAAGGTTATGTTGTGAAAAATCTGTCAGTTCTGTCCAATGAAGTTCTGTCAGATTGAAGTTGTCAACGTAAAAACTAATGGCGTTTCCGATTGGTATTTTTAACAGTGATGGGTCCACGGGTTTTTAGGTTTAAACCCAAAAAACCGGTTTGGGTTTAAACCCACCCGGGTTTTTTCAGTGATGGGTTTAAACCCTTTTTGATTTTTTGGGGGTTTCTAGGAAAAATAGGTTTTTTGGGTATTTTAGGAAAAAAAAAACGTTACATGGTGGCGTAAAACAAGCTCTCTATAAACAGGTTAAACAAAAGTGTCCAATGTCCACAAAAAAAAAACCATAAGAATGCAAGTGCGAGCACTGCGAGCTAATTAAGGTATTAGGTTAGGTTAAGAATCAAGGATTAAGGTGACCTGTAGTAGTTTTATGTTTTGTTTTCTTTTGTATCGAGTTTATTTTTTTGTTTTTTTTATTCAGTTTATTTAAAAATATTAAAACACTTATTATTTATACTAATAATTATCATTTAAAAGTTTGATTTGGTTTAAAAGTGTTCCTAGAGAAGCAAAAAATGAAAAACTTGGGTTTATTGGGTTTTTTAAAAAAAATCAGGGTTTAAACCCAAAATTTGAATAAACCGGGTTGTTTCAATGAACCCGGTTTTTTGAAATACAGTTATTCGAAAAAACCGGTTCTTTCCAAAGGGTTTTTAGGGTTTTTTCCAAAAAACCCGGTCTAAACCCATCTCTGATTTTTAATGCGCACTGGCCGGGGATTCTAAAATCACGATTCGACATACGACTCGACAACGAGACGATTTTTCCGACGATTCTAGGTTAGAAATCTCATTGGAATTGTACCTTTCGAGACGACAAGGCCGGTATCGTTATCGAGTCGTGTGTCGAATCGTGATTTTAGAATCTCGGCCCTGAGCAAGAATCGTGAACTCTACCAGGATTGCTCAATCGGCTAAATTTGTTCACAATTGCTGTGACGTCACGCGCATGCCGGATTTTCAAGATGGCCGCTGATACGAATGATGTTTAGTTTGTGCTGACAACTATTTTATCGTAAATTCGGATTTATCTAGTGTTATAAGTGTAAATTTAAAGTTTCATTTAATGTGTGTAAGCATAAAAGACTCGTGGCTGAAAATACTCGCGAAAACCCCAAGCATTTTCTGGTTTTATAATACTGGATTTGTTGTATCAGGACATCGCTCTTTTATTTGTGTGTATTGCTAGTTAGTATTTCCTAGTCAAGCATTTGTTTTGCTTTTTTTTTATAAATCAAATATCTACTTAGTTGTAAGTTTCCTTTGCATGTAATTACTAATAAAAATTAGGGTTTGTGAAGAGTGAATAAATAAATATGTAAATAAATTCCTTTACTGGCGCGTTTACTATGAAAACGCATGGAAAATATGGGAAACTTGCAATGTTTTTCTGGAATATGATTATGAGAATCTAAATTAGGTATCACTATTTGGCTTTGTGAAATAAGCTCACTTTGAATGTCCATATTAAATCGTTCTAGTACCTATTAAATTAATGAATAATAATTGAGAAGTACCTAGGTAGGGTCAATAAAAAATAAAGCACACTATTGCAACCCCGTTTCGCTTATATTTTGATATTGAAATGCAAAAATTAAACCGGCTCGGCACCCCACATTTGGTCTTCTACTGTTTCTCAACTGTAGTCAATTGTGCCCGTTTTGTGCTCAATTGTGCCAGTATTTATGCGAATTGTGCTCATTTTCATACACACAAAAAACATTGAAACGAATCCGGGGGCCAGCTTGACTTCAGCCCTTCGTTTTTTTGACTTTTTGGCAATATGTTTGGCTAATTGATAAACAAAAGCAAACAAACTCGTCTTTCTAATTAGCAATTAGCCAACCACTCAACCTCAAGGACACAAGCTTTTGAAGTCTGCTAATTTTAAAATCAATAAATTAATTACAAAATACAGTTTTCAAAGGAAATAACCTCAAAATAACAATTTTTCACGTTTGAAAATGCAAGGATAGTGCACTGTCATAAAAAACACAAACCGATCAAGGACTGCGTGACGTCATTCGCATACCGCCATCTTCGATGTTTTTATGAACGTTTGTCTTATGGGATTGAGCAATCCTGTAGAGTTTACGATTCTTGCGCACTGAGTGTATTTTCCAAGGAGAATACACTTTCTTAAGGAGTGCTTATCGGCCAAGAGGTGCTTTCCAGTGACCCATTTGAGTTACTCCTGAGCAGCTCAGGAGTGCTCCACAATTGCTTTGCGCGTTCCAGTGATTAGAGTGTCGTACACTTGAGCTACTCATTTCTGTTATCCCCTGCCCCCTCGTGCACCAACCCTTTTGTCTGTGTTTCATGCTCCTGAAATCCGAAATAGTGGGGGTTGAGACGAGAGCGTTCCAGTGCTGCTTATGTCGAACAGTTCAAGAGCGTCACACTTCAGGAGCATGATACTCTAACAATTTAGGCACTGGAAAGCGGCTAAGGATGATACACACTACTACAGGATGGCTCATCCTCATAAGGCCCGTGTGTAACAAATCCCCCCCTACCTCCCCATGCCAAAAAACCAGTTGTGACGTAGGCATTATGGCGTTTCTCGCCTTGACGTAGGCTGTTTGCACCACAGGTTATGATCTGGCTAGAAATTACTAGTTTCTAGTATGTTAGTCTAAATTATATCAGATACATTCAATAATGACCTTTAATCACTACTGTTGTGTCCCTCAGTGCAAGTTTTGGGCTAAAAAAAAAGCCGACAAAGGGTTAAGTTTCTACATATTTTCCCTTGGAACAGGCCCGGTTTATTTGGAATCGAATATGGAAAAAGAGTTAGTGTCGAGAAGAAAAGCTTGGATTTTAAAACTTCGTATTGGCAAACCAGTCACTAAATTCATGAAAGTGTATCCTCTGCCTTTCAAGCAAGAATTTTGTGTTAAGGTAAACAAGCATAATGGATAGTTTTCTACTTCCTTTTAGGCCTGCTTCCAGACATTGATCAAGTACCAATCTATTTTTAAAATGTTTTGTTTGAAAAAATTGACTGTTTTTATTATTTATCCCATTTTGACGTTTAAAAATGACATTATTGAACGCACAAAACATCCCCCCTTAGAAAGGTAAGTGCCGTGTTGAGAACCTGTCTATTACAGTGTATTAGGTACTGTCTATAAGTTTTCAGCGCCTCTAGTGACTGGGGGGGTAAGCTTTTGTAATTCTGGATTTATTGGCGAATGCAAAACGCAATTAGGGTTCGTTCGGTATCTTATTTGTTCCGGTGGATCGCTTGCACCATTGTTTGATCCTAGCGATTCAACACCACCACTTTAAAGTTTCTACCATTTTTTGGCATAAAATAATTGTGCCAAAAAGAAGAAACTCATAAAATCGGTAGTGTTGAAGCGCCTTCAAGGTAAAATTGACTCAAAATTAAGATGACAAATTTAGATATTTATTAAAGTTTGAAACAGAGAATATTAAAGAATATGGAATTAATTACAATTATTGCGAAACAGTTTTTTT